CAGGAGATGGGGATCTCGCCGTTGCGTCGGGAGGGTCAGAGAGGGAGGCTGGCCAAGCGTGGCAGACGAGGGAAGAAGTCTGGCCAAGCGTGGCAGAAGAGGGAAGAAACAAGAAACAGTTCAGAGAGGTAGTGCGCCTTACCGTGCGCTGCGGCCTCCGGCGCCCTCTGGGTTATCTGCTCACGGCCCGTGGCTGAGAGACAACCAGCGTACACTTTCCACCTCCTCCCCCTTGGCTCCTCCCTCCTCCCCTCCTTCTTTTCCTCCTCCCGACACGCCAAACTTTCGGCGGCCAAAGCCATGGCCAAATCGAATCCGAAGCCCGAGTCACAGCCCGTGATGAGGATGGCCCGCTCCTCTCTGGCCTCGCCGTTTTTCCCCTTCATAAATAGGATCTTGGGTGTTAAAAAACGACGCACGTGAAGCTGATCAGGAGGGATGACTTCGCGAATGCACCATGCAGACTCTCCTCGTGTCTCCTTTCCTTGACGCGTGCGGATGATATCAAGCGGTACTCACCAGACTCTTGACTTCCTGGCGTGCGAACGAGTAGATGGCAAAAAGGGTGTCGAGCACGAAGAAGAGGATGTGACAAAGGAGGTAGAAAGGGGCCATGGCGATGTAGAAAGCCCACACCACATACCAGGCGAGGTCAAAGAGGATGGGAAGGTGCAGCACATTGTTGGTGGCCTGAAGGAGGATGTTTGGTAGCTGGAGAAGGAGGGAGGAGAACGAGGCTTCCAAAAAGGAGAGATGCAGGCATGTATCAGGAATTGAAGACATATTCATGGGAGGGTGAGGCATGTGTGGGACAAAAGAAATTGGCTTTTGTAAGAATATCGAGCGCTCATAAACCTCAACGCGCCGTTCTTCAGGGAGGATTGTGGTGCTCCAATGCAACGTAAACTACCCTTTGCGAACGTTATAAGACCTTTTCTAGTAAAGCCATGCACCTTTTCTGCTTACCTCTTTTCTCCACATTCGTCACTTGCCTGTCTCCATTCATATCGTTCCGTGTGGATGTACCTGTCGGGCTGTCGAAGTGGTGAAATTGCCGGACAAACAGCATAACAAGACGGCAAGTGGAAGTTTTCCAGCGACTTTCAAGTCTTCAACCCCCAGGGACATGCGTGTGTTCCTAAAACCACCACGCCCCCGAACCTTGTCGGGCAGCAAAGACGAACGACCGATTTCTCCGTTTTGAAAAGGCGGCAACTACTCCTCACTTCCTTGCAGCTTTCACAGTGGTCGTCGCGGACGTCTTGACCAGCATGTGGGACATTCGCAGTGCGTGATAACCTCCTCTCTCCAGTGACCCTCGCCCCCGGCGTTTCTGAAAATTGTGTTGCCTTGTTTGCTCTACCTTACAAACAAATGTGGACATAGATACGCAATTTCTTAGGCAGATAATCAAATGAGTCCTCATTTCTCGCATCCGCTCTGCCCAGAGAGCTCATCCTTCACCCGTTCTTCTTCTTTCTTTTGCCGCGATAAGGAATGATGTTGGGAGTTAGACAGCACACCACGTTGTACTCCACCACGACTACAATAACCAAGAATACTAATGGACGAGGCATATAACTTTGAACGCTAACGTACGAGTGATTTATTTTTCAAGCTCGTCAAATTACTGGTGTGTCATCCTCCATCCCTCACTTCCCCTTCGATTCCATGTCCTCATTCCAACTTTACATACTCTACCCTCCGCGTGCCCTCACCATCTTTCCTCCTCCACTTAGGCTCAGTCATCAGTTCGCTACGCGACGATAGGGATGTACTCGGACATTCACGGGAGCAGCATGCTAGGACATGGTTCGGGCTGACGACCACAAAAAAAAAGTGACAGGGGGGGCTAGCTCCGTCACGTCTGTCAAGGGAAGGGCTGCATTCTCATCGCACCCAGTTCAAGGAGAAGCCTAGTTTCCGTTCAAGTTTTGCAATGCACCTTGGTGAGTGGAGACACCTTGAAGAATCATGCCTGCGGCAGCAATCATGGCAAGGCGGCCGTTCTTCACTTCCTTGAGCTATAGAGGTTTGAAAAGGCAAGAATAAGATTTGTCATTACGAGCTACGAGCATAGAAGGCATATGGAACATTCTGCTGTCAAGACCTCGACAGCGGTTGTAGATGCTGTACGTCTCCAATACATCTCTGGGGGCCTCTCTTCTGGCATCGCCCCTCTGCAATCCTCACCTGCAAGTCTTTGAACTTGGCGGGGTCCTTTCCAAAGCCCAGGGGGTCAAAGTTGTAGTCGCCGGGCGCTCGATCCCCGTTTTGACGGCCCTGGGTGGTGGCGACACCCGAGATCACTTCCAAAATCGCAATAGCTACCAAGGCCGCCCCCACGAGGGAAGGCTTCTCGGCGTACACGGTCCAGAACGCATCCATTTGGCTCTTGGTGGAGGGGAAACCGGGGGCGGGTCCCACAGCCTCCACGAAGAGAATGCCGGCCGCGGCCATCATCCCGAGGCGGCAGTGCTTGAGTTCCGCCTCCCGCAACCAGTACAGGTCGATGCCGACTTCGTTGATCTCTGACAGGCCCAAGGGGTCGAAGCCAACGTCACCCGCCATGGACCCGTCCAAATTCTTGGGCTTCATCAGAAAGGGAAGGGACTTGGATCGTTCCGCCATCATGGTAGTGCGGCCTCGCATGGCTTTCCCTGCGGAGGAGGCTGTGGGGAAGGCCACCGGAGCCACAAAACCAGCCGCGCATGGGAGGAGGGCAGCAAGAGCAAATACTGTCTTCATATTACTTATTTGGTGAACTGTGGGAGTGTGGAAGGATCCTTTCAGTATTAAGTTGAATTTTGATCCGCTGAGGACTTCCTGCTCGAGGTTGGATTGGGAGGATTAAGTGGGCAACTGTTATCCCAAACATCACGGGAACTTGTCTCATCGTAGTCCGAAGAGGGGTAATCAACCAATAAATGATTTCTACTCGAGAGGAGGACAACAAACAGTGTATGTGCACGAAAAGCAGGTAATAAAAAAGGCTGCTAAAGGGGGGCAGCCGGCAATCGCGTTCGGACATGATCTTGGAACAAGAAGTAAGTTAGGGGCATCACTCGGCACTCAACAATCAACGAGACGCCAAAAGCTGAAATTTCCCTGACCGAGACCCCTGCTACCATTAACAACGATTCTTAGTCCGGCGGCCTTCCGTACTGGCCGCGCTCCCGTCGATAGTGTGCCCAAGACAAAGGCGGCAGAAGCCGGCGAACAAGGATTTGAGGTCAAGGTGGGTGTCGTTCGCGCCAAAATTTTAAATTTGTAACCGCAGGCTTCGCGCAATTTTTAAAAACTTGGGGAGCCGGGCGTTTTTCGATGCCCGTCTTCTGAAAGGGAGGGGGTTTATCAAGAGAAAAGCAAAGGCAAGCGCGTGGCTTCGTTCTTCTTTTTTTTGCTTGGCATCCCTTGATTTGTGTAATTGGGAAATGGAGCGCGTCGGGGGCTAGAAACCAGAAGTACACATCGGACTATTACGATCGTGAAGCGTCGTCGTGGATTTGGCGAGTATTTTACAACAAAAGGCATGCATGCATACACTGTGCGAGGTCGAACATACTCGTGAGAGCCTACATGCTCTTTCCGTCGACTCTGAATCCTCATCGCGCCAAACGAGTAAAGCACGCGTCCAATTATTTTCTTTTCACTTTTTCGATAGCCGGAAGCGCAGGGCCTAGGAATTTGTACCCGTCATCTTTCATTCTGCAACCAATTCCGGTCCAGGATAAAATAGAATTAACCCTTATCTGTGCCATGGTGTGCCCTTGCACCGAAAAGAAAGGGCCGTGAAGCGCAGCCCCTTTTCCCATTGCTTCGTCGACCTTCTCGATCGCCATTCCGTCAAAATACACATTTCCTCTCCATCGGTGAAAAAGTTTTTTTCTTGCTTCACGTAAGCCCCCAAACTGCCTCTTGATCACATTTGTTGCTTCTCTACCCTCTGCAATTCCTCACACGCCTCATGAAGATAATTTAATCTTGGGGGTCTGTCTTTCGACGCCAATTCTGCAGGATTGAGAAAAGAAAGGGTGTATCAGGGACAGGGAGCCGTACGGGATAAGCAACTTGTATGTGTCATACACAAGGAAGGGAAGATGCAACGGGTTGCGCAAAATCGGTGAGAGAGCGACAGAAGGGGGGATATCCATCACAAGGTCTTACGTTTGGGTCGGGGTCATAGACAAATTGAAAATCTTGAAAAAGGATGTCGACGATGAAGATCATCCCTGCAAAAATGATGAAGACGGTCTGCAGATGGACAGAGCGAGGGTAGAGAGAGGACCGGAGAGGATATCGATGAGGATTGTGAGCCTCTGTTCAACATGAAAAAGTCGACACTGCGCCCGCCAGACTCAAGACATAAATTTTGGCTCTTCAAAGTTGCAGAAAAGCATTCCACACAAGGCTTCGACAGGTCAATGTGGGCAAGGGTAAATACACATCCGGCCTGTATTCTCTCCTACGCACGATATGACCGGCGTGGGAGGATACCTGGGACAATATACCAGTAGACGCGAAAATATATCACAAGAGTGCATGCACATACGTACATAGTAGATCCAGATGCTCTTCCGGGTGAATATGGCAAACATAAAGAGAAGGGCCAGGATGAAAAGCTGCAAGTAATGCCGGCCTTTGAGGACACTGCTTTCACCCATGACCAACCACCCTGCTGCAGCTGCTGCGGCTACTCCTCGCACTAAGACTTGTGTGGCAGCTACTGCTAGTGATGGATGCCACACGACCGTGTGCATTAGCGTGAAAAGAAAAGAGAAAGGCATGAGCGACTCGGATAAAGGGGCTGAAGGGAGTTGAGGACGGGGTTGACGCTTACACCTCCTTCCCTCTCTCCACCGACGTCCACGCCAGAGGTAGGCATCAGAATACAACAGGGAAGAAGGAGATAACGATGGCGTGAGACTTCTGTGGCCACGGTGCGCACCCGACATCATGTCGCACAGGTGAGAATCTGGCCCGTCTCGGCTTCTTGCTAGTTGCACCGAGGGAGACCTCAACGATTGTGTCTCAACTCAATGAGTGCGCTTGCGAAATGCACGGCGTGTGAGTCTTCAATGAGCTGATACACACACTTTCCCGATGGGGCGGGCTACTGTGGTCAAATGTCTGGATCCTGCTTGTTTGTCTGACCTCTCTCGCCGGCGGCCAGCGTCATCGGGCGAAGGCCCAGACGGAAGGGGGACTGGAGCGAGGGCCCCCAAAAAGACGCGAGATTGCATGCTGCTCCAAAACACAGTGCATATCCATGTAAGAATACGAACATTCTCCAAATATGTGTACAACCAACAAAGTATTCCTTTTCAGAACAAGAAAAAAAATCAAAATTTGTCTTGTGAAAGGCAAGGGGGTGAGGCCTTGCAAAAGCAAAGTGCTAAGTTCGACATTTTTTTTGGGTACGAGACTATCCATTACCGCATAAAGAAGTGTGTACGACGCCTTCATACATTTTCATGTGTCCGTGAAGGAGATCACTTGAGGGTAAAGGACGTATCAGGCAATAACCATCGCCTTTTCATCGATATTGAAGATGGGCCACCGTGAGCGGGAAGAAAGCGAGTTCGCAACATGAAGCAGGTGGATAAATTTTGCAAGATTTTCTTTCTTCTATTTCCTCTTTCATTTCTGAGATCGTTCCCATGTTTTTCCATCCGAAAACAATCTCCTCTTCACCTCATCGAACAGTCTCCTAT